TTGCTCTCAAGGTTCTCCTCCTAGATAGCGGTTTAGCAGTGGAATGGATATGGTCTCGTTCTGGACAATGGTTTAGCTGTTGAATAGAGATGAGAAATCGATGGGTGGTGTCGATTGGGAGACTGGGTCTAAAAGGGTCTGTTCGACTGAGTTTTGTCGAGAGTTAGAAAAGTAACTCTTGTTAAAAAATCTGTAATATAACTTTCATTGGTATAGTGAATTTCAATTTGTCGCACCTGTGGATGTAACCCTCCTGGAGTGAACCATGTAAATCTTTGTGTTAATGTGATATGTATATTTTATGCTTCATTTCTCGTATTATGGCTCGTGATTTCTCCTATTTTGTTTCTAGCTGGATAAATACACGATCTTGGTAGGATCCAACTTTTGAGATTCTTGTTTCTGCATCTAAGAGAGTTCTTAAATCCTAACAATTGATATCAGAGCGCATGATTCGGTACAATGTTAGTGTTTGTACATTAGGTTGACGAAAAACACATGGGAAATTATGTGAGCATTTTATTTGAGGTGGAGAAATATTATGCAAACATTATTTTTCAACAAGAATGATGAATGGATTTATTTGACAAAAGATGAAGAATTCATAAAGCTATCCAATGGATGTTAGCATTGTGAGTAAGTGATTTTAATATCATGGTGATTATCCAAAATCACCTACAAAAATCTCACATATTATGTGGGATTGTGATTGATATTGACAAGTTTCCTAAAAGAAACAGATATCCAAAAAGATTAAGACTCTGGGATATATCTCTTGGTTATTGAGATATATGTAACACCCATTTGAAGTTTCCTATTTAATGTGGATTCCAAATCTTATATATATGGGATAAAAGTGCAGCGAATTCGTGTTCCCTATTTGGGTCACCATATAGGAAATGTGGCTTCCTCCAAGGAGAGAGAAATACAAAGGCCTCTTGTGCATGAGAGGCAAGACCTCCCTTTAGAGAGAAGAGAGCTTCCGATGGAGAGAAATACCATGCATGTACCTCTTGTAGATTGAGAGGCTGGTTTCTTGTAGAGAAGCGGTTTCATGAAAATTTTAGATGGTTGCCCCTTTTAGAGAGAGAAAGTCTCAGTTGCTCTTAAGGTTCTCCTCCTAGATAGTGGTTTAGCTATAGAATGGAGATGGTATCTTCCTGGACAATAGTTTAGCTGTTGAATAGAGATTAGAGCTTGACAGGTGGTGCCGATTGGGAAACACGGTCTAAAAGAGTTTGCTCTACTGGGTTTTATCGAGAGTTTGAGAGGTAACTCTATGTCTTAAAACATGTAATGTAACTTTCATTGATATGGTAGATTTCAATTTGCCGTGCCTGTGGATGTAGCCTTCCTAGGGTGAACTACGTAAATCTTTGCATTCTTGTGGTATGTGTATTATATGTTTTATTTCTCGTATTATGGCTCACTCTCTTCTATTTTGTTTCTAGCTGAATAAATATACGATCTTGATATGATCCAACTTTTGGGATTCTTATTTTCACATCTAAAAGGATTCTTAAATCCTAACAATAATTGGGTGAAAGAAGTCAAAGGCCATACATTGATAGCTTATTGAATGGGAATTCAAGAAAGATGAGGTGTTGGGACTAACCATGAAGTTGGAAAGAATGGGCATGTCGAGACAGTAAGATCAGAGGCGGCCATGGAGTGAAGGATATAGGGAAAGGGGAAGCCATTAGCACGAATGTAGGTTAACTGGAACGAATCTATATATACCAAAGGTACACACTAACTTTTGAATGGTGGACAATATGATCTAGCCAATTATATACAAGTAAAAATTTTTCTTTTTTTTTGTTATTCATGCTGGCAAGAACGCTTACATGTGCCAAAATATAAAATTAACTTACATAAATCAACCCTTATAATACAATCTAGGATTTTACTTGCATGCCATCACAATTGTTACATTCAAGCAAAAATACATTATGTGAGATTGAATCAAGAAACATAGATACCAAATTACCTTGCCAAAGGTTATCCCCCAAGACTATATACATCCCATTCCGAGTCTCCCCGACCAGTGGGGGGTCTCCCACCAATGGCATACAAGATCAAGGTTCTCAACCTTATCCCGCTATGGTCCAATTCTAAACTATAATACACATCGAGGTTTTGTAATATTTGATTGATCGCAATTCTGTATATTTCATTTATTATAAAAAGTTCCCAAATAATTCATTAGAAAAATGTTTCTAATAAATTGGTTGCTTTTAAGCTCTTCCTTGCATGAAAAACCCGACCGGACTCCTAATTTTTCTTAGTGACTCCTAGCGCCCCCTATTTGCTCTTGATGACTCATAGCGCCATGGCTTTTGATGCTCTAATGTGGGAAGCCTAAGCAAACCCTAGTCTTTATGAGAGTACAATATCAAGAAGAAATAAGGATATTTTTTTCTCTAGGGTTTTTCCCATAATATGGGGCATTCCACCTCTTCTTTTTGCATGGGGCATGGCACCCCCTTTAAACCATGGTCTTAGAGAGGGAGAGCAACTAGACGAGAGAGTGATGAAAGAAGAGAGAGTTGCATACCAGTTTAGTGAGATTTAATATTGATCGTTGATCAAACCTGTAGGGTAAGGAGATATTAGCCATCTACTTTTTTAGATCAGCCATTATGAAAGCGCTAAAACCATTATCCATCAATTTTCTTAACGCATTACCATCAAATACTTAATAAATAAAAAATAAAGCAATATATTATATTGATCAATCAATACAAAATCTTTTACGCTTGAAATCAATTAACCCTTTCTCTTAAATCATACCAAAAACAAATTCTACGAGACTTACTGAACAGGTTAAAGAGAGAGAGAGGTTCTCTCAAAAGAGAGAGAGAGAGAGGTGGGGTGTGCCATGCATGCCGGTCCTTTGTGGGCCTCACGCCCCCACCTAGATTGGTTCCATATGATGGAGCCGACATCAAAAATGTCCCAACACCTTCTAAAAAATTGACAAATTAATAAAGAAATTTTAGAGCTTATTTTTAGTAATTTTTTAATTTCTCCATGTGCATAAAATCCAAAAAAAAATCAATTTTAACTATTTTAAAATTATTTTTCGTCAAGCTAAAAGGCCTCTAAAAATTTATTTTAATATTTTAAAATTCAAATAAAACATATTTAAACATATTAAAATGCATTTGATGGGAATTGGATTCATAAGATAAAAAATAACATTAATACATTGAGACACTCCATGTATAAATCTTTGGAGTTCTTCTTTTGAATTCGTTAAATCTTTTCTTTAGATGGATCCTAAGCCACCATGACAGTGTTTTGGACGAAGTCCTCATGGGTTTATCTCCTATACATTGTAATTCAACAGAATCCCATTTCTCGATAGAATTATTTTCATCTTGTTTAAAGCACAAATAAGAGAGTTTCTCATTGATCTCGCTCGGATTTTGCTGCAGACACCAGCCACAGAAGATCAAGTAAGATCATTGAGACGAGTTTGCTGAAACATCAGCTGCGGCTTTCATTCTTGCCCCCTAAGTTACCTTTCTCTCCCACTCTCTCTAAAACTTATCGTCCTCTCTCTTATGAGCATTCTCTCTCTCTGTCACCTAAGTTGCAATTGTTTATGTTGCAGTGACTTTAACAGCAAGTTGAGAAAAGGAGTTTGAATTTGGAGAGAGAAGCATTCGGTCCTGCGAGAGCTGTTTTTAAGGATGAACGTAGATTTTTAATATATAAAAAAAGGATAATTACGTAGTTTTCACTTTTGAAAAAGAAATAGTGAGGGGGGCGGGACCACTCTTTAGGGGGGACGGGGTATGCAGTGTTTAGTTGAACTGTGTTGCTTCATGGTTTAAAACTGGGAAAAGTGTTTTTGTAAGTTAACATACTCATTAGCCAGCGACAATGGCTAGGGCTTTTGTGGTAGCCCAGCGAGAATGGTTAGGGCTTTGGTGGTATATGATTCCATTTTCACTTAAGGGTAGGGTTTCAAATTCCCAATGAATTTTATCAGCCTTGATGAAAGCATAACTGGGTTTGGAAGAACCTAGGTTAAGCAAAATCAAGATTATAAAATTCATCAGGATGGACGGAAGGTGAAGATCAACATTCACAAACAACTCTTTATGCTGAGCCTCCACAAACAACTCTTTATGCTGATCCTTCATGTATGAATGAAGCACCTGCTTATCGTAAAATCCTTGCAAGCTTTCCAAAACTCAAAGAAACGACACTCATGAAATATGTCCACCCTCCTAAGTCTGCAAAGCTCTCTTTTTATTTCAAACCCTTTCTATTCTCATTTGCTTAGTCTGTTCCTCTAAGGAAGGGTCAAATCATTTTGGAAGACTGCTGCCAAAAGGACAGTAATGCACCTCATCAGAATCATCTATAGCATTTTTTATTATTTATAAACAGACTCATCTATGACACTTTCCCTATAATGGAAAACATTTTTTATTATTTATAATCAGACTCATCTATGACACTTTTCCTATATTGGAAAACATAATATTTTTTTTTATAAGAAAGTAATAGTAGATCTCACAATCGAAAAGGTTTATATAGAGCCGAGGCTCTAAACAATCAAATTAGAGCCCACGTCAAAAAATTCACTAGAAGATGTTATTTTGATGCCCAAATATCCTCAAATTGATCATCTCGACATCAAGATGCATAATGAAAAAAGAATAGATTTCAAGTTTTGGAAATAATGCATCTTGTAACGCATTTTTGGACTGTCAATTTCCAAGATTTTCAAATTTTTATAGATCTACTCAATCTATACTATTTTTAAAACTTTAAATTTTATAATTAAAGATGAAAATATTTTAAGGCTATTACAAAGATTTCCAGTATTAAAACTACATTTCTCAACACTATTTGAAGGTGAGCTTTAATTTGATTGTTTAGAGCATCGGCTCTATACAAACCGCACCCATGAGTAAAAAAGCATGCATTCTGATTATTCTGATTATTTCCCGATTTCCCGAAGAATGGCTCATGCATGTTTCTGACACGTGAACACACTGCAATTTATTAATAATACGAAAACTCAAAGAAAAGTTATAAGAATAACAACCTACAATGACGTCCCTTGAGGTTTAGCTTGGTGGTAGACATATCAGTTTGGGCGAATGAGGTCAAGGTTTCAAGCCTTTGAACATCGTCCCCAAAGAAAACCCAAAAAAAACCAACCTACTTTAAAGGGAATTGGGCTTGGGCTTAAGTGGTTGGCTGTGCACTTTAGCAATGCTAAATCTCAAGTTCAATTCCTACTACCAAACTACCTAACAAAAACAAAAATACAAAAACAAAAGGAAAGTAAAAAATGTACCGTGAAAGTAAAACAAGGGGGCGACTGATGCAGTCAAAACAAGGGCTTATTTCCCTTCAACAACCCCAACAAATGATCCAGAACACGACCTTGCCCATCACGTAATCCAGAATGCATGTATTCATTGGTTACCCATAACCTGATGCCTGCAATTTGTTTGGCAGTTTCAACAGAAAGTTTAAAGTTTACGTACATGTCTTCATAGTATACCGCAGCTGCAACTGGCACCTGCAAAGAAAATGTACAAATTGATTGACCAATCAAGTTGGCATCAAAATTTATATAGTAAAAAGGCCAATATTAACCAATTAAAAATGTGGTTATCAAGGAAAACACAGTTGCTACTGAAATGATACTACTTTAGCTGCAACCCAAAAATAAATAAATAAATATCATAATATGAATAAGTACAATGCCACTAACAGGAGTAGCTTTGCTGGAAGGATGCCCAAGATTTATGTGAGATAAGTTGTTGTTTTATGTACTAATTGGAATGATTTGTTATTGAGCATTTCAACAATCAAACAACATTTTTTCTTTTTCTTTTTTCATTCCATTTTTTTTTTTTTTTTGATGGTGGGGGTGGAGATGTTTTTTTTTTCTGGTGGGGGGAGGGGGGGGAAAGCTGTGGTTTGGGGGTGTGGAGGGGTTTATAAGCCACATTTTTTGAATTTTCAATGAAGTTAAGAACATTGATAAAAAGTATAGGAAAAGAAGAATATTGAGCAAACATAAAGATGTCATCTGGAATACGCATAGGCCTCTTCTGTCACAAGTTGAGATTGCAAACTTTCCAGAGTCACAACCCAATAGGAGCTAGCGTAGAGGTTCGAGGCCTATTGCCTCCTTGTATACGTAAAATAAGTTTGTTATATTATGAGCATGTAGAAATATGTTAAGAGGCATAATTTCTAAATAAATAACAAATAACATTATTCCCAACCTTCGCTCTATTAATATGGTTAGAAGCATGCCTTTGGGTCTCTATATAGGTAAAAATGCATTCAATAGACTCACTAATTAAGATTTCAATCGTTCATCAATTATTTGAAGGGTCATGATTCTCATACATAGCAGACTTCCAAAAACCAAAAAACGCCTTGAGGCGCCTAGGCACCCTAGAGGTGCCCAGGTGGAATAAGAAGAGTATCCAATTGTTTTAGGTCCAAATTCTGTATAAAAACTCAAAAACACATATTGGGGCATAACACTAAGAATGCATAACATATACTCCACCCATAGTCTATAGTTCATAAACTTCATACCATTAGTCCATAGTCCATACTTCATAGTCCATACACATAGGAAAGAAATGCATATTAAGGTGAGGTCCAAAGTATTTGAGATTTGGACAATTAGTTAATAACACCTTGAGCAACATGGAAAAATATAATCCAACATTCAAAATTTTCAAATTCAGTCATCAACTCATCATCAGGAAAAGGAAAAATTTCACAAACCCATCGACCTTATGTAAATGGAAAGTTCTAAATTTTTTTAAGCTTCTCTCTCTCTAAAAGGTCACAAATGAGGATTAGGTTATATAAGAACCTGACTCCCCCCTTTTCCCCCCCCCTTAATTTTGAAAAACGAAAGACGAAAATGCCCCTCTAAGATAGGGCATTTTCACCCCTAGGCAGGTGCAGGCCCTGGGTGCCCGCGAACACCCCATTTCGTGGGGAATCGCCCAGGCCCACCTAGGCGGTCGCCTAGGTACTAGGTGGGCCGCTTTTTGAATGACCAGTAGGTAGTTGTAACTCTTTCATCATCATCGCTTACAGGGAACACCCTAGTATGAGCATATAACATAGATTCAGGATTTATAAAACGATACGGCAAACTTATAAAATGTGTGCAACCCTCCTCCTTTCCGGGCTTCAGACCGACATGACCGGCTTGGGACGCCATGGCGGAGTTAGGCAGTTGTAACTCGTTCATGTATATTTATATCATTTTGTTGCTAAATTGAGCAATTTGGTATCCCATATAGCTTCTAAATTCTAACCAAACACAATCTATATCGCAAGAAACACTCCGTTTTGTTATAAGACAATTTTGGTCTCCTGTAGATACAAATATTGGTGCTCCTATACCCAAAGAAAAAGGAGAGATATACAATGGAGACCTCCATCATTCATGACAATGGCCATATCTGTCATTATTTTTGTGGTGAATGTTGCCAATTGCTATGAAGGCTTGTGTGTCAAAGTTGTACTTCTAGGCAAGGTAGCCAGAAGACATCACGATGTGGATTAAGAACTCAAATTCTATTTGCAATAGAGAGAAATGAAATCTCCAGTGAACACTTGCAGAATGCAGGGTGGTGGTACTTGGATAGGGCAACTATCGACCTACTAATGCTGGAAAGGATGGTGTAGTCACAGGTAGGGGAGACATATGGTTTTACATTTGTCCTGAACCCATAATACCATTTGAAGGTACAGAGATGTGGCACACCTCTACACTCCTTGAGGGTACTATCTCCAAAAACCTTGTGATTAAAGCCTTATTATGTAGAACCTCCCATCTCATATGCGGTTGTCTTCCTCCAGATCATTATGGTCCATATTTACCCATTGCAGTGCCTGTGATCCACCTGGCCTCAGACTGAGGTGAATCATTTCTATCTCATTTCATCCCGTATTCCTGAAATTTTTTAGTATTTTTACTGGATGATTTGCTGGAAGAAGCAGAACTGTCGATCATGGGCTGTTTTTTTATGTACTGTCGCAATGAATTGTAACGTACTGTATTTTTAACATAATGATTCGAATGCAGGAGATCCAACTGATGGCCAACTGTCCTCTAATAGAAATGCATTTAGATTTTAATTTTCACCGAAACAAGAGGTTGACAAAACATAAAATCACATTTGTGCTCCCTGTGGCTTCCCAAAGATAACTTTCTATAGTTCTGAGCCTGTTGCTAGTCTAACTTCAATTCTGTGAAACATAGCAACCAGCAGAGAGTGTTTAGCTTCACGGGTACCCTGAATTCATGTTATAGCTAGGGGAAATAATTGCTAGTAAATTCGTATTGCACTTTCTAATTTCCCACATACAGTGACAACCCAGTAAGAGGATGGATGCACAAGAAGCGTTTTCTCTCCAGGCAATATATGGTGGAGCGGAAAAAAGAGGTATGGGCAGATTTTTAGAAGGGAGAGTTCGATATAACCAGTTTTAAGAGGGAAGAGTTCCTCCATTGATTCTTGGAGGTAAAGCATCGTAGGTCGGTGAATTCCTGGGCTTTGGAGTGTGCTGACCGGCTTTTCCATGTAGCAGACTCTCAAGTTCGAGGAATATGGTTCTCTCTGGCCTTGTCATTCATAGGGTGATGGTCGAATCATTTTTCAGATTATATGTATTCCTTTTGCTTTTTCAGGGCACACTGCATCAAAATGAGTGATCGAGTCATTGTTTTCTTTTCCTTTTTTTTTTTTTTTTGATTTGATAGATAAAAATTAAGAAAAGAAATGCTACAATGATGAGACCTCGTAGCCAAGAAGTATTTAGCATCTTGTTGCCCCTACAGTCACAAAACGATAAGCAATATTATCTTGAACTGGCTGCTTTTATAGAATCTCCAAGACTTTGAAAAGCACATGTATCTGATGACTAACAATATTATAATCGACAATTAACAAAAAAGATCTCATTGCATCATTGAAAACTTGGTTATCTTCAGAAACATTAGAGAGATAGCACACCTGATTATTATTCAATTGAGGGACATCATATAGTGGAGGCCAATCTTCCTTCACGGCCAATAGATGAGCAGCCTTTTTGAAATGGTTTAGGGCATATATCTCATCAAACATCCATGGAAATATCATCTGCATTGCCAATAGCAGTTGTGCAGTTGCATGCATTATCTCAAAATTAAATTGTACAAATGATGAAAGATGAAAGCCAGTGGAAGTATGATCAGCACATCATTATTCACAATAAATATAACAATTATTTACAACTAATCTAATAAATAGGCAAACCTACCAGTCAGATAGTTTGCATACAGATGATTCAAGGGAACAGGAAGAAATGGTGTGTATAGACCAAGCAGTACATAGAACGATAGAACCATAGTTACCGGAATCTATTTGCCGACCCCGCGATTCCGGTTGGCGATTCCATTAAGGAATCTTCACCGAAACTGTTTCTTGGAACCACAGAATCTCGATTCCTTAATTTAGGAATCTCATCTCAATACATCTTTAGAATCTTGAACCTATTATTTGTGGAAAGTCATTCACAAATACATCGAATCGTGACTCCAACAAATATTGAATCTTGAGTCCACGTCGAATGATACATGATTCCACATGTAATGATTCTTATTCCATTAGGGTTTTAAATCTAGAATCTACAACGTATAGTACATCGGTTCATAGGCGTAGGGAAGTGCGATTCAACCAATATGGAATCTGGCTTCCATATCTTTTAGAAATGAATAATCCCATTTTGTCTACACAACCCTATTTTGTCTATATAATAATGAAGTAAAAATCACAATTTAGAAATACATATCTTTTGTATATAATTTTCCTAGTAGATTATTTGACCCTAAGATCAATAGTCCACACCCAGTGGTTTACAAAATGGATCGGTGCCCGGATCAGGCACCCCAAAAACCCATCCAGATCGGTGAATTGGCGTTTCGGATCAGAAATCGGTCAGATTCGGCCTCAAAAAAAATCCAAAAAATTTATTAAAAATCATTATAAATATTGCTTTTTAGGAATCCAATAAGAAATGGGGGTACCACATTATGAACTTTCATTTTTTTCATCAATATGTGAATATTGAGATGTTCTTTCCCTGTATTTAAAATTTGTCTTATAATATCATCTAATTTTTTTAAAAAAATATTTATAGCTATAATAAAAATAATACATTATATAATTTATAATGTAAATAAACAAACAAATAAAATACAAGATTTAGTTATCAATGTATAATTATTAATAATAAACAAAGGTGTGACCCTTACAAATACATAAATCTACAAAAGTATAGAATTTAGAAATGTAAAGTTGTAATTATATTGCAATAAAATTAGAAAAATATATAACTATCATACTTGCAATGTGGGATAATTGGCAAAGCAACTTTAAAATAGATTTTAAAGTGGCTTGGGCCAGTGTTATTTTTTTTATTTTAAAATGTCCCATAAACTAGTAATTTTTTTTATGGTCAATAACTAGTATTAATTTATTTTTTGTTGTTCTAACGTTAATAACTTTTTCGATGAGTATAAATTATGGGTATAACGTTAATGAGTGATAATGTTATTAACTTTTTCGAGCTATTAACGACACGTTAATAACTTTAATGTTAATGAGTTACACGTTATACCCATTAACGTTATAATAAAGCAAAATTTTTTTTATTAACGACACGTTAATATCTTTAATGGTAATAACTAGTAACTCATTAACGTTAATGAGTGATAACGTTATTTATTAACGACACGTTGATAACTGTTTCGATGAGTGTAATTGGACGACTAGTTATACCCATTTGCAAGTCGATGAGTGATAGACAAAAAGTATTTGCCATCAAAAAGATGAGGGAGCACAACACCGCATAAAAGACATGGTACAAAGCAGGGCAGTTGAAATGGTATGCATAGGGGGGGCAGGACCACTTGGCATGAAAGGTGGCAGACATGAAAAAGTTTAGCCAGGTTGGTTTTTGTTCGGGTGTAACGATGCATTAATAGCGAGGTTAGGTTTGCCACGTGTGTTTGTTGATGGTGTGACGATGCCTCCTAACGATGCAAAGAAAATCTGGATCTCAATAAAAATAAATAAAAAACAAATGGAACCACCTGATACCACGGATATACGATCTGGTGCGGTATCACCGATACCCGATCCGAATCGCCCGATTCCGGATCAGATCAGCGATTTTTCAAACATTGGTCAACACAATCACTTTAAAATTTGCTCTATAAGTCAAATAAGAGACATCTAATATACGTTCTAAAGTTGAAAAGGCTCAAGATTTATTTGGGGCTTCCTACTCCATAAAATTGAAATCTCGACTCCTGGTTGGGATAAAACGTATTCATTCCATAATAATGTAATTCTCAATTTAAAACTAGCATAGATCTCGAATCCATATACGTCAAAAACTCGATTCCAAAGATGTTGGAATCACGATTCTAAACTGCAACATATCTCTATTCCATATATATCAAAAACTCGATTCCATAGATGTCAGAATCTCAATTCCACATTTCAATGAATCTTGACTCCTTGAGTGTCGATTCCATGGGGTGGAATCTCAATTCCAAGGAGGTCAGAATCTCGATTCCAAATGTGGATGAATCTCAAATCTATTTTGGTCGAGACGTGATTCCAAGAAATTAGGAATCTCATTCCCCGCGATTCCCATTATATGGATGTCGATTCCTAAAACAAAAATCTTCTTGGCGACCGGGATTCCTAAAACAATTCGGGTTCCCAGCGTTTCCAACAACTATGGATAGAACACATGGTTTAGCCATACTGATGTTATCTTTTCTAAATGGTCTCTCTCTCTCTCTCTC